GGTCTCCCGGACCACCCTAGTACACGCTTCCTGTCTGCGTCGTGTGACCGGCTACGGACGGAGATCGTTCGGGTCCCGCTTGTATCGGTTTTTCGTGGAAAGGTTTCCCCCCCTGCAATATTCAATTCGATCGGCGCAACCAGAACGCAAGTGGTACGCCTCAATGGTAAGCGATACCGCCTCTCTGCGGAAACGTGCCCCGACTTCGATCCTCCCGATGCTTCCTCCCCGGTTGGAAATTCCTTTTAAACGATTCTTCCTGTACTTTATTACTACATATTTTAGTCGTCGGGTCAGCGTGCCGGGTTTTCTAGAGCAGCTCTGTTGGTGGTTCCTTAGAGGAAAGTTTGTGTTAGTGAACAGTGTTGAATATTGATGGGTTGATTTATTAAGTAACGATTAAATGATAAGTGAATGGAAAGTTTTATTCGATTTAATATCAACTGTGGGATTCATGATGTAGAATATATTTAACGCAGAGAGCAATTGGCTAAAAAGGTTTATCAACTTTTTTCATTGTAGGGACATCTTTTGTTTCAAAGGTGAGAAGGTTTTTAAGGAGTAAGTAATAAAATAATTGGGACTATATGATCCAATGAAGTTCATTTTGATAAAGTAAGCTTTGTCCTCACTCCTGAAATGTTATTGCCAAAGGAAAACATGTTACTGAAATCGCTGTTCTATGAGACCGTCATCAGTACCGATAATGTGAATAAATGTCTGAAATACTAATATTATCAGTTAAAATGATTTCTACCAATATTAAAATAAAACTAACAGAAGGCTCTTATCAACTTAGAAAATTAGTATCAATTCCAAAACATTTGGTTCAGAAATAATATAAAACTTGTAACTATAAACGCTATTTTCCTTCTAAATTTCAGTTCCTTGTGTGGCAGAAAATATAAACCGTTTCTACCAACCCTAAATCATAGAACAAATACGATCACAAAACAAGCCGGTAACGATTTATACCCTTCGAGCAAAAACCTCACAGTAACCGCTCACCTCGTCGATCGCTCATTATTAGCTGTACATTATCAATTTCCAGGGGGTTCGTCGTTCCGTTAACCACCGCCCCAATAAAACGAAAGTGTCCCGGTCGTCATACAAAATTCGACATTATAACGCGATCCGCGTTCGCCATGAAAATCGAGCTGTAATCTCGATAAGACCGTCTTGCAGCCGGTCCCGATTGAAATTCACCGTGCGTCGTGGTATGGAGTCATCGGAAACCAAAGAGGGTGGGTGGGGTTGCTCGAGAATCCTAATTTGTTCGTAACTATCCGCCGACGCTCGCGGGGGTTGGCGGAAAGTGGAGTGGCGGCCGGTGGGAGGGTGGTCGGGGTGACTGAAAATAATCCGGTAGCTGCAGTAAAGCGTGGAAAAGCTCGAGGGTGAGTTGGTCGACACGAGCGCGCAGCGGGGGGTTGGACGCGGCGGTGAGCGAGAGGAACAGGAGTCGCTGTAGAGGGGAGAGGGTGCAGAAGAAGGCGGAGAAGAGTGTGCACGGCACGGAGAGCCGTAATTCCTTCATGGAAAATTCAAGGTTTTTCATTAGCGTCCCTCGTTTCCCCTTATGGCGGGGTAGTTCGCCACTCGAGCCTCGGCTTCACACCCCTTTACCCTGGCATGGTAGCAGAAAGTTTCGGCCGCGCGGCGGAAAACTCGACGTGGCGCATATTTCATATATTATTTTGCGCGACGCCGGACTTGGAGAAGCACAAGGGCTGGAGGGTCGAGCACAGCCGAGCGAGCGAGCTAGATAGCTAGCTAGCTAGCTAGCGGGTGGGTGGTTTGCCAACAGAACTGAACGTCACTGCTGCAGGGTGTTTGCGCGGCCCTCTTTCACGCTACCAGCCCCCGCTGCCCCCGCTGCCCTCCTGTCGGGGGCCTTCCATCGCCGAGGAACAAAGAACGCTTCGCCCCTACCACCGCGGACCGCCTCCGGCGTTAATATTTTAAGCATACTTTTCTACCGCCAACCAGGCCTTTCCCTTCTTTCTTCGTTACCCTCTGCTACCACTTTCCTCCGTCTCCTTCCCGCCGTTTCTTTTCAGATAGGGGAAGCGGTTCTTTCATTCCCCCTTACCTCGTTCCTCGGCGTCTTTTCCGACCAGAAAGTAATAGAGAGAGTCAGAGAGAGAAAGGGAAAGGCAAGAAACGGAGCAGGTGAAGGCGAATGCGAGCAGAAAAAAAGGGACTGAATTTTGCAAGGCAAATTAAGTGCGCGGTTTCACGACAGTGGCTTTCACACCGTCCCGAGACTCGGCCGGGATCTGAAAGGGATGTTTCGAGAGGATATCTCAGCCTGGCCTCGTCTTCTACCTCCAGGGAGACGAGCCTGTTCCGCGATTACGTACCGAGGTTCGTAATGTGTCTCCAGAACATTCTTCTCCCCCTACCCTCTTATCCTTCCCAAAGGGGTCGCCTTTGTCTTCCGGCCGGTTTTTCGGGGAAAAATCCGATTTGAATATCGGGGCGGAACAAAAGAATCCTTCAAGTATGAGGCCGGTAAACAAGGGATTCGATTCGACGTTCGGAGATCAAAGGCGTGCGCGTACTCATGCGGGCATGAAAATAGTGGAGAGTCGAAGAATTTAATAATCGAACGCTGGATACTGTGAATCCTAGGTCAATGATGGATTCGAACGATGATCGGGATACGTGCCGCGCGATCGTGCGATGTTCTTTTACTCTAAATTCCACATTTCAACTATTAATGTTACTACTTCTTCTAGTTAGCAGTTATCAGTCAGTATTATAATAATTATTTATAATATTCTCAATAAACCACTGTCAGTTGATCAGTTTCGGTCAATTTATTAAAAAATTCACATTAAACTTCCAATCTCTATTATAAAACTTAAACAACGGTTTCAACATTCCCACGAACGGTTACGTGAAAAGCGCACAATTCCCGCGCGCGAGCGACACATGAAAATACTTAGGTGAAGTGCTCGGCGGACAAAGTGTTACCATTCCCCGCGGCGTGTACCCAGCGTGCTCGCGGATCTCCCGTCGAACGATACATCATCTAAGTTCCCGAAAGTAATTTAACTTTTTAATCCGACCGCGTTAAATCGACCAGCGAGACGGCGAAACCGCGGTAACGGGCCGCGCGGGCGGTATTAATGGCGCGACAAAAATGTTCCGTTCGATCGATAAGCCCAGTCCCCCGCGTCCCCATCAAATATTTCGTACCTCGGGGAGAAACTTTTCCCGAATGCGGGCTCGGGTACGCGCTCACCTATCTATACGCCGGCTGCCGTGGCCATACCTATGAATAAATCGCGTTCGTGGTTAAGAAGTCATGGAGAACCGAGTCACTTTTCATTCAAACTTTTATGACTTTTCCACACGACAACCGCGTCCCTCCCACGCCCGTTTCCACCAGCGAGCCATCGTCTCCTATCTTCTTCTGCCGGTCGCTCCCGCCCCTATCTCGCTGCGCTATCGAACGTTCCGCCGGTCCCGTCGTTACGTTATTTGCCCGTCGTTCGTCGAGTCTTTAACCATTATCGAGCGGTCGCGACGACGCCGCCGACGGTCGAGTTACGACGCTCGACGGTAACCGGAGCGACCCACTAGCGATATTTTTCGATCGAGGGTGCGGTGCATGTGAGCGACGCGACGCTCGCGCAGATTATGCGGTTAAGAGGCAGTTTACCTTTAGAACATCCTTCGCGTGATATTCGAATGCTTTGTTTTCGGTGTTTACTGCTGTCTCAATGGACAGCAGCGAGTTTAATTTTTCATTTTGTTACCGGATAGTTGGAATCTTCATTTCCTTTGTTTGTTACATTCCTTTAGGAAAAAATAAAGTTGAATTGTAAAGTTTCATGGCTTGAATGGTTTGGTTATCTGTTTGCACGAAACTTCTCGATGTGTTTGTATCGGTAATAATGCTATAAAATGTAATGTGTGAATAGAAACCGAAGACTCTAGTAAAATGGGAAATATTGGAACTGAATCATTGTTAGAAGAATGAAAAATATCTGTCAGAAGTAATCAAGGTATTAACCTCTTGTCTTACGATTTATTTCATCCTGAACGTCCCTGCTATTTGATTTTGCTGCGACACTGTGAATACAACTGTTACACGAAAAATTTGCAACATTGAAGCTTTATTCAAATTTATTTATGAAAATAAGAAAATTCCAACGTTTACGATACTGCAGATACATAAAATAATTTATAAAATCAAATCACGCACGGGGAACACGTGTGGATGAGACTCGACATTTTCACGCAAGGGGCTAAGCTTAATTTACGAACAAAAGTGATCCGCGAACAGCTTCAAAGGTCCCGACCCCGTGAGAATTTTTATGCGTCCCGACCAAGCGATTCGCATACTTTCTAAATGCAGAAAAGTCCGCAACCCAACAATGACTCATCATTATCCGCATCAGGCGTCCATCCGAGCGGGCCCGATGGCTCCAAGAAATAGCCGGAATAACTCGGGATCGTTTAACGGGACCGTAACGTATCTCTCTTCTCAAATCAGCTAATCCCCGATGGAATCTCGTGTTCGGTCAAACATCTCTGAATTTCAAGACACTCGAGAGATCCTGACGGTCCGGGGATTCCGCTCCCAGGGCTCTCGCGTCTCCGCGCGGTTCCCGGCTGTTAACGGTTTACGGCCGCAAGCAAATTGCTAATTTTCGCGGATAACAGTAGCCTAGCGAGCGAGCGCGAAGCTAAAAGATAAAAAGGCGTGGCGGTGTTTCTAACCGCGGCGCGATATCGCGTTTCTGCGCCAAACGCCACTGGTATCTTCCGCTCGGAACCAGTCTATAGGCTTCGTCCCTATCGCTCGGCGGCAACCCGCGCGTTCCCGGGTGCCCGGTTCCTAGCTCCCGCAGGTGAAACGCGATTTCTGGCAGACGTCCCTAACGCCGTTGCCGGGGGGTTGTTGAACCTGCGACCCTGCTGCCACCTTCGAGCCTGCAGGCCTGTCGTAGAGCCCGTAGGCCGCCGCGGGATATAACGTGCGGGGGCCGTTTAAAAGTTTTCCGACGTGGCTCATTAAACTATCAGAAGTTCTGTCTGAAAGCGCAGCTGCGCCGCTGTAATTGCCGACACGGGCCGTGCACGCTTCGCGCTCGTGACATTCCCGGCTCCCCTTCCCCCGTTGCCCCGACGAAATCGGCCGACAGCGTTGCGGGTTTAAGTGATAAACTTTACCCGCTTGGGGAGCCTCCCGCTATATCTACTTCGGCCGCGGTTATCCTCCCCCGCGCGGACCCTCTGCACAGAACCGTACCATTTCCGAGCGGCCAACTTGCCGGCACTTGGCCGACTGGAAAATTTTTCTTTCGATGGAACTTTGTT